TCTCGGACGGAAATTGTTTCGTAGTACCGCCGTCACCCAGTCTACCGGCCACTCTTCCACCAACTCCAAGTCAGGGCCCATCAGTGTTGCCGGGGAAAAGTGAGTATCAAGAGCACACAAAACTTAATATAATAGCACCATCAAAATGATATGTTATTGAGTTAAATTAAGATAAATAAAGTTGTACTTTACGGCAATGGCCATTGTTATTTTTTAAAGATTTGAGCGCGAAATTGGCCAATCATAATGTAACTCTTTGCGCCCTCTTTCCCCATCAAGCAGATGAAAACATACAAAAGACTAGGAACGTCTGGAAAGTCTAACATACAAATAACTGATCGCGCTGTATGCGAAGCGTGAACATGTAAGATAATAGCATTCCGAGTTCCAGATGAAATAAAGGTATTCTAGCTAGGGATTAAGCAATCTCTAAATATTTTTCGTCAGTCTTGAAAAGCGATGATAGAAATCTTTGCCTTTTCTCCGGCTAACTCCATTTATTACACTGACAAGTTATTCTTTTATTTCTTTCAGATCCATCTTGTGATTTTGAGAAGGATCTCTGCTCGTGGAAACAAGCAACATCAGATGATTTCGACTGGACAAAAAATAGTGGTTCTACTCCTTCCTCTGGAACTGGGCCATCTTCTGGACACGGTGGAAAAGGTAAGAGAATAAAAACCACCAAAGTTGCTCAAAAAAGAAGCAATTTCACAACTAGTTCTTCTATTTCAACGTCAATAGTTCAGTCTTTTAATTTTCTTTATTTTCTCTATAGGGTCATATATCTACATTGAGACTTCCTCCCCAAGGATTCAAGATGAAACAGCCATATTGACATTTGATGGAGCTAACCCTAAGCCAGTGGTTTGCCTAACCTTTTATTATCACATGTATGGGAATTATATCAATGAGCTTCTGCTGAATAATCGTGGAAAAAATGTTTGGAAGTTGGCAGGTGATCAAGGAGATCAATGGAAGAAAGCGCAAGTCACACTTACTGGAAACTTTCAGGTACAGTAACTAATTGATATGTGCTGTAAGGTATGCAATGCCCATTGTTAATTAATTTCTGATTCTGTTTATCCCTTTCTTATCTTTTACTTTTTTTTTCTTCATTTTTTCTTCACTTCACTTTCATTAGAAAGATATCTTCCATATTCCTGAAAGTTGAATTACCAACATTCAATCAGTTCTAGCTTTTTCCTTTACCTCTCCCAAACTAGCTCGTTTTCACTGCATCCGTTGGAGGTTCTTATGAAGGTGACATCGCTATCGATGACATATCTGTCTCAGACGGAAATTGCTTTGTAGTACCGCCGTCACCCAGTCTACCGGCCACTCCTTCTCTAACTCCAAGTCAGGGCCCATCAGTGTTGCCAGGTAAATGTGTCCATTAAGAGCGCGAACAAAAATTAATATAATTGTTCTATGGAACCAAGCAAAAATTATAAAAAAGCAAAGAAGCTTTGAGGGGCCATTGCTTTCTATATTCATTCAGGATGTCCTTAACGTTTTGGGTTAAACAACAAATATTCAGATTCGTAGCTTTACACGGAGTACAATTTTCTCGGAAGGTGTTCGTAGATTTTTATCGGCATGTTCAGAGAAGCTGATGGAAAATAGAAATGATTAAGAAAGTCAAATAGTTATTGCAACAAAGCTTAAAAGATAGAAAAGGAAACTAAGCTCCCAAATGGCTTCATGGACAAACTCTTTACTCAGCTTAGCAACTGAGAGGACTGTTTAATGTGTGGGAATTGCTTCACGTACGTAAGCTTGCAAATCATTTATCTGTTCTCAGGGAAATGCGGTTTTCGACCTTCCACAAGGATAGTAGGTGGTCAAGAAGCTTCTGTCAATGGCTGGCCATGGCAGGCGATGTTGAGATACAAATATGGAGGCCAGTTCTGTGGTGGAACTTTGGTAGATCCTTTATGGGTTGTAACAGCAGCTCACTGTGTTAAAAATGCACAACCAACAGGAATAATAGTCAGGTATAAATTGAACAAAATATAAATCAACAACTCATTGGCTTTGTGATCTTGCTAAATGGTTTATTCCTGTTTAGGATGTAACCGGGCTCGTTTTGCCTTGACAAAGGAAATGTTTCTTTTCATCTTAATTATTTTTCTTGTCTGTCGTCGTGTACGTTTATCTCTGAGTTTGTTCGTTAGGTCATTTGTCTCTTGCTTCTTCTCTTTCTTTTTACGTTTATCTCTCCCAGAAATGAATGAAATATAACAGTTGATTGATTTTCAATGAAAATAGTATGCAATGGTTTAAGTTTTAAATACTCAAATTGCTTCTTTTCCTTCTAGAATGGGTGCTCATTATAGGGTAAGTGGTACCGTTGGAACAGAACAGGACATAGATGTTGCGCAAATCATCAACCATGAAAGTTACCATACCCCTCTAAGATATAGCCACGACATTGCCTTACTGAAGCTAGCCAGACCTGCTAAGCTCCAAACAGGTATTGGACTTGCTTGCTTGTCAGACTCCAGCCTTCCTCTCCCCATTGACGACCCCAACACGAAGTGCTGGATCACTGGCTGGGGTACGCTCTCTTCTGGAGGTAGTCAACCTAATGCCTTGATGGAAGCGTCCGTCCCCCTGGTATCCAAAAAACGATGTCTCAAAGGATATCCAGGAAAAATCCACGACTCCATGTTGTGTGCAGGTCTGGACCAAGGCGGAGTAGATGCTTGCCAAGGAGACAGTGGTGGACCACTTGTATGTAAGTTCAATGGCAGATGGTATCTGGAGGGAGCTACTAGTTGGGGATATGGATGTGCTGCTCCAAATAAGTATGGGGTGTACGCCAAGGTACGATACCTCAGGTCGTGGATCGACAGATATATGAATGGTGGGATTATACCACCAACCACAATACCGCCACCCCAACTAACAACAACTCAACCACCAACAACAGCATCTAACTCCGGTAAGATGCTAACGAATGCTAAATAAATGAGTTAGAAATGAATTAGTCAAAATAGGATAAATAACGTAGTATAGCACAGCAATGACTGATGTAATTATTGGGAATAAAAGTAGGAAATTGGTGGCCAGTCATAACCTCCTTTTTAGTGCTCTCTAATCCTCACAAACGAATAGATGGGGTTTTTTGTATCATCGGAGAGAAACATTTGTAAAGCCAAACTTCGCAAAGCTAACCATTCAAATAGCTGGGCACGCAGTGCTCGAAGTGTAATGGCGATAAGCATTTTAGAGTTCCCAGGGTGAAAATGATATATTGTAAGTAATATTCAAAGTTCTGAAAAGCTTATGTCAAATTTAAGTCTAAAAAGCCACGAAATGAGCGTTTGAAGGAAAATTTCCTAAACAAAAAGTCGTACGTTTGTGAAAATTATTCTTTCAGAGTACGAACAGGTAAGACATTTTTTCCTCAAAAACTTTATTTACCTCCGTGTTGAATAAATGGCTTATTTCTTCAAGATCCATCCTGTGATTTTGAGAAGGATCTCTGCTCGTGGAAACAAGCAACATCAGATGATTTT